GGGAACACCGGGAACGGGGGACACCGGGAACGGGGAACACCGGGAACCCGGGACACCGGGAACGGGGAACACCGGGAACGGGGGACACCGGGAATGGGGAACACCGGGAACGCGGGATACTGGGAACGGGGAACACCGGGAACGGGGAACACCGGGAACGGGGAACACCGGGAACGCGGGACTCCGGGAACGGGGAACACCGGGAACGGGGGACACCGGGAACGGGGGACACCGGGAACATCGGGAACGGGGAACACCGGGAACGCGGGACTCCCTCCCTTTCTGCGTTAGGTGCTGACGAAACTGTCGCCTGCGGGTCACAGAATTACAGGATTGTTGGCATCGGAAGGGCCCTCTGGAGCTCCCCCCGTCCCACCCCCTGCCCGGGCAGGGGCACCTGGAGCGGGTACACAGGGACACGTCCGGGTGGGTTTGAACATCTCCAGAGAGGAGACTCCACCCTGCCCGGGCAGCTGTTCAGGGCTCTGCCACCCTCAGTGTAAAGAAGTTCTCCCTTATGTTGATGTGAAACTTCTTGTGTTTTAGTTTATGGTCATTGCTCTTCATCCTGTCTCTGGGTACCACAGTTTGGCACCATCCTGTTGACAACTCTTGGAGATATTTATATGCATTAATGAGATCCCCTCTCTGTTCTCTCGCTAACCAGGCCCAGCTCTCATCAGAGATGCTCCAGACCCCACATCATCTTTGTGGCCTCTGCTGGACCCTCTCCAGTAGCTCCATGTCTCCCTTGTACTGAGGAGCCCAGAACTGGACACGTCGTTTCATACTCAATGACACGTTCCACGAAGTTTTACCTCTGTGCATATTATTTTGCGGTTTCCCATCCCAGACAAAAAGAAAAAGGCAGAATTTCTGTTAGTTGTCACTCCTGTATTTAAATCGATTTAGAGAACCTATGGGAAATAAAAATACTGCAGATAGTGGAAATTTTAAAAAAATGGGTTTTTTTCATAAGTCAGTAAAAATAATCACAAGTATAATCTGTCAAACCGTAGTATTTAATCAGGCCTGGAACATTTAAAAGTGTAGTTCAGTAGAAGTCCTCCTGGTGGCACAACAGACCTTACGAAAATCGCTTGGTAAGAAAAGCCTTCCCAAACGTCCGGCAGGGGCGTGTCGAGCCAAGGCTTTTCTGAAGAGAGAACCGATGCATTTAGCAAAAGTTACTTGAGAAGGTGCTATGAGCACAAGTGAGGATGGAAGTCCTGGAGAGGCATATCTTTCTGACAACAATATCTCAAAGCTGGGAGGGCCTGTGCGCGATGCTGACACTACACAGCTTTCACAACACTCTGCACCCCAAAGCCCTGCATTATTCTGTCAGAACAGCCCCGTGGGTTGTAGTACCCCAAGCCATTATATTGCTTTTCCTCTCTCCCCGTCACAGCCACTGCCTTGTAACACGGCAATGCTGCGTGAGCATTTTTGCCTCATGTGCTGGGGTGGTGATGACACACAGATAGAGGTATTTTGGAAGTATTTCTTGTTGTATCATGGGGAATTTAATAGGAAAGGCTCTGACTCATACTTTCCTCTGCATGCTGTCCTGTGAAGCCAGAACATAAACCAGCACAGTCAGTTCTTGAGTCTTAGCTGTCCCTACTACCTTTCAGTCCTTTTCAAATGTGTCTTATTTATCTGCAAGCACAATGGAAAGGGGACAATCTATTAAGGCTGCTGAGTTGGTATCTGAAGGAGAATGAGGTTTTCTTGTTTAAGAAAATACCTTCACAATGCATAAAGCACCACCACCAATAAAACAGAACCTCTGACGTGCCACCCTTCTTCACCTCTTCCTCCTGGCCTTCCCCTCTTAAATGTCTTTTCTGCAAAGAGCTTCTGGTGCCTGAGGAGGACTTTAGAGTCACATTAAAAATTGGTTTCTGGAAGCAGGGGCACACAGGATGATCTGAAAACAGGATGTGTTTTGGACACATTCCTCTGTTTGGTTCTCTATTTTGGTTTTGCTTGGAGATTCATTTCCTTTTCGTAACTGCCTGTAGTTCAGTGACCTGCTGAATGAGTCAATTCTAATGCATTACCTTCAGTCTTTCACAACTGAGGATTTTTTTTGAAGTTTACTCTTTAGAAATCAGAAATGCAGCACTGAGTTTAAGCTGTGAGTGAAGGAGAGAAATGCTGTCTGTACAACTGTGGTGTGGCCTATTGAGACAGAGAGATTTGGGTCTAAGAGAATGACTTCCTCTTTCCAGCCTTCTCCCAGCAAGCAAAGCCTTTGATCTCCTTTCAGAGAAAAGAGCAAGAAGTGTTATGTGTCTGCCAGAATGACAACAGAAACGTTCCCCGAGCTGATCTGGAGATGTTTGAAAACAACATCCTGACAGTTGGGGTTTTTCTGTGTTGGGAGTGTCGCTCCCTCGCTGTTTGGAAGCCGAGTTGGTGTCTCTGGGGATGTGCATGGTGGCTCCTGCTGGGCTGTACAGCACAAGCCCTCGCTGTGCCCAGCACCTGCTGACCCCAGTGCCACTCTGTTCTGCCCCATTTGTGCCTTCCTGCAGCTGGGTTTGGGTGGGTCCTCAGGATTTGCTGTCTGACGCGGTGAGAACTCAGGTTTTGGGAGGGGTTACTGCAAACCCTCCTATGAACTGGCAGTGGTCACTGAGTCAGTGTGTAATGAATGATTTAATACAAACAAATTCACTCTAATAATGCTTATGGTGCCTGTCTAGAGTACTGCAATGTGGATGGGTGTCTCTGCAGTACTGTCCTTAAGACTGGTTAGAGTTCCATGCTCTAACCACCTCTAAGCTGCACTCAGAATTAGCAGGTTCACTTCAAGTGGTGTGTTTGATCCAGAATGCAGCCTGTGGGTTTGCCTGGACTGCAGGATTAGGAGTTATAATTTTAATTGATTATAAACTAGTGGTGTAAACTGTGGCCTGTCATAATTTGCTTATGCTGAGATAGTTCAGATTAACACTGGAACTTGAAGAAAGTCCACTTCTAGCACTACTGTAACCATAGTGATTTCAAACCTTGAAATCAATGGATTTGACAGATAAGAGTCTAACAGTGCTTCTTCTTTCTGGAATTGAACTGTACATACTTTATGTAATTTCCTTTCCCAATAACAACTTGATTTAACCTCTTCTGTATAAATTTCTACAGTATATTCATGTGGAAAATTCATACATTTAGATCAGTAGAGTAAAGGAGAGCACTGTTCTTTGTATATTAAACCAATGCATAGATCTTCTTAAAACTAGGACTTAAAAGCAGGACATATCAACATATCAAATGTAGTGGGACACAATATAAAATGAGCATGGAAGTATCTACCTGCAGTGAAAGATGTATTTACTGGAACTGGGGAATAAGGGACACTTTTTTAAGGGAGAGTCACATGATGGCCATCAAACAGTAATGAATTGCAGAGGCACCTGCCAAAGTCAGAGTTGTTATAGATATGCATCAGAAATATTATGATATCAGCTAGCAGAGTCCAAAAGCTAAGGAGCAAAGCTCATGTTAATCATTTGTGGTTAGGTGGCACTCAGGGCAAGACTGCCTCTTAAGATTATCCTTTAGTGCCAAAATAACAGGATCTTAGTTCTACCAACGTGTTTTAAACTCTTATTGGGTTTTTTTAAGCCTTGTACTTAAACAATTAAGATGCAGAATTTCCTACAGTTTTGTATGCATTGAATATAAGAGCTTGATTAAAGACAAGACCTTGACACATACCTCTTTTTGCTTAACCAGTCTCACCTTTGATCTGAGAGCGGAAAAAGGATTTTTGAAAGGTAGAAATGATGATGTCTTTCAGTTGAGAAACTGAAAATGAGAGTAGGAATGAAGTAACAATGTAATCAGTTTGGGTTTTTCCTTAGAAATTTAGGTGTTGGTAAACAAGTATTTTCTGTTTTTCTTAATGTGTATGTAGAGATTTTTGAATTTATTGCATATGAATAGAGGCAGTAATTACATTTTGTTATTCATATCAGTTCCTTTCTTAAACTGAGGGCTTTAGCAGGTGGACTTTACATACACCTCAGTGACTAATGAAATTCTGCCATATCTTGGTTAGGATGAGTTTGAACTGTGGCACTGATCTCTCTTTATGGCAGGTGACCCATCTAGTGAGCGAGGGAAAGGCTGTGAATGCGTCTTCCTGGACTTCAGTAAAGCCTTCCATACTGTGTGCCATGGGATTCTCCTGGAGAAGCTGCAGCTGAACAGGTGCAGCTGGGTTAAACTCTTGGCTGGGTTAAAAACTGTCTGGATGGCCAGGCCCAGACAGTGGTGGAATGGTGCCACATCCAGCTGGGACCAGCCACTAGTGGTGTTCCCCAGGGCTCAGGACTGGGCCCAGTCCTGCTTCATACCTTTATTGATGATCTGGACAATGGAGGGCACCCTCAGTAAGTTCACAGATGACACTGAGGATCTGTTGGAAGGCAGGAAGGCTCTGCAGAGGGATCTGGACAGGCTGCATCCATGGGCTGAGGGCAGTTGTATGAGGTGCAACAAGGCCAAGTGCCAGGTCCTGCCCTTGGGTCACCACAACCCCCTGCAGCTCCAGGCTGGGGCAGAGGGGCTGGAAAGCTGGAAAAGGCCCTGGGGGTGCTGGTGACAGTGGCTGGACACGAGCTGGGTGTGCCCAGGGGGGAAGAGGCCAAAGGTACCTGGGCTGTGCCAGCACTGCTGTGGCAGCAGGACAAGGGCAGTGCCCTCCCTGTGCTGGCACTGCTGGGGCTGCACCTCCAGTGCTGGGGCAGTTCTGGGCCCCTCAGCTCAGGAGGGACATGGAGGGGCTGGAGCAGGTCCAGAGGAGGGAACAGAGCTGGGAAGGGTCTGGAGCACAGGTCTGATGAGGAGCAGCTGAGGGAGCTGGGGGGGCTCAGCTGGAGAAAA